ATCTCTCTGTCTCTCATTTCTAAGTCTGCCCTTCTCTTTACACTTCTGATCACCCCTGTAAGTCTGCCTGTGTGACTGTCCCTCACAGTGTTTTTGACTTCTCCTCTGCCTCTGACTGACCCTCACTCCCTGCCTATTTTGTGTGTCTATATGACTGTGAACATGTATTTGTTTCCCCCCCAGACTCTGCCCTCTGCCTGCCTTTTTGTCATCCCACCCCCACCCACCCACCCCCACGTTATCTACCCCAGTTTAAAAAATCCTTGTTTACTTTTCCCTTCAATCTTTATAAACAAATAGGGCTGCTATTACACCCCTATTTTACAAGTAAGAAAACAGAAAAAGGACTACTGGTATAAATCTAAGAGGTTAGTCTATAAATCCAAGTGCTTCTTTCTTTAATACTCTTCTGGCATTCCAAGGCAAAGAACTTGAAACAGCCCAACTGCAAGGCAATTATGAATTAACACCATATACATTCAGATCTTTTCTAAGAGGTAAATCTGATATTAAAGAGTGCTACATAACTTTTGCCCACATTTTTGACTCTCACCAAGTTAATGAATTGTCAGCCACTTGCCCATGCCAGAAATACATATCATCATGTTCACAGGTTAATCCGTGTTATTCGGAGACCTCACAAATACACAATAGAATCTAGTTTCTACAAGTGCTTCTCTTTTTCTCAATTTTTCTCCCTAGTCCCAAACCAGCCATGTTTGGCACTTTAAAAAAGATACAAGAAGGAAAACAAATATTATATACCTAAAGAATGAAAAACTGTACAGAAGGCTAGCATGAAACAGTGAAAAATGGATACCAAGAACTGGGAGCAACTGGTCTATGTGTTATTGAGAGGAGAAAATTCTCTTCAAATGCAGGCTTACTGCTGCTGAGCAATACCCTATTACTTTTTTCTACCTAATGTTCTGACACTGGAATTTCTCTGTAATTCAATAAGCTCTTAGCAAACTTCATCCATTCTTCTGGGCTCATTAATACAAAATTCTGTATGTTTTCCCCACTAGCTAAGAGCACATTTTCTGGTGGAGAGCACAGTAGCAGCGGGATTCTCTTTTAAGACATGAATACCCTAGCCATTTTGTCTCACTTCTATAGGTGGGAAGTCTGCAACAAATGTAATCCAACAACTAAAAGAAATGTCTAAATTATAGTCTAGGTTAGTGGTTGTCAAAGATCATTCTATAGGTCACCAGTTTTACACAAAGGGTGAGGGCTAATCTTATATTTAAGTAAATTAATAATTAAAAATATATACTGTTACTTCTGGCATTAGTTTCTTTACTTATGTCTAATGAGTTGCATGAGTGCCAAATAAAAAATATACCAGTCTTTTCATTCATTCTAGTGAGATATTTATGAAAAGTAAGCTCATGGAGCTAATGAGGACAAGGTCACAGATTCAAACTCCATGCTGGCCAATTAGCTTTGCTGTGTTTCAGGGTTCCATGGTCATAGTCAACAACCTTAACCTTGGCTGAGAAACATACTGATCATGTGAAGCATTAGGGGAATGAATATAGATACATCACCAAAATCCATTGACTATCAGAAAACATAGTAAAAATGAAAAACAGCAATAATAACATCCCTATCTTTTACTAAGCCTGGCTAGTATGTGCCTAGTTCAAATAATCTCTAATCTTTTCAACCACACACGGTTAGTGTTATTATCTGTTTTACAAATGATGAGAAAGAGAATTCAGAATGATTATATGAACCAAAGTTGCATCCAGCAGAGCCTGGACTCAGACCTTGCTCTGTCTGACTCCAAAGCTTAGATTATTTCCACTATACAATACAGCCTCTCCAAAGCATGCCTCAATGACATGGGACAATCAACAAAACGTTCAGAACTATTCAGCACAGTCATTACTGAGCATCCACTATGCATGCTTCGACACTACACCTGAGAATAAGTCTACCTTCCAAAAATTCCTTTTAAGTAAAAAACAATCAAGGAATGAAAGTGTTTAAAACCTAAAGGAAAAAAATAACACTTCATAGCACACAAAGTAGATTTTAATGGAACTGACTACTGTCATGGCTTTGTATACAAGTCCATTAAGAAAAAATACTGGTAATTATTTTGCTGATTCATAACTAAAGGTAAGAATGAAACTGGCAAAACATAGCCAGGGGATAACACCACACCAAAAAGAGTAAAGGAAACATTTCCTAAACATCTGAACCTGCAGATCTGGTAATCAACACAGCATTTGAAGGAAATAAAAACACATATTTTGATTCTTAACCCTTAAACTTTGCCTTGACCAACAAATAGTTTTTCTCTATAAGGATTTCCTCCTTGGTTTTTCTAAACTCTCACTCTTTACAGATACATATATAGCAATGCCACCATCTGCATCAATCACTGAGTCTCCACCTTGAAAAACTGAAGGTCACCCAGTCTCCTGGACTCTATCCACTAGGTTGAAATTTTAAAGTCAAATAGTCTGGATTTTTTTTTAAAAAGTAAAGGCAGGACAAAAATTGTTCTATAAAACTCTATCATTGTCAATATCTCAGTCAGAAAGATAGATAATTGTTCTGCCACAAGCTATAATGTACAGAAAAGTGCATTCTTACTACAGGTTATAAAAGAAGCACCAGATCAATTTCAACAAACTAGGTACCAAAGAAACATTTGGAATCTTTACAAAAACAGAAACTCAGCAAAACCCAACAAGAATCTCTTCACAACATTTTAGGAACCTCTAAAAGTGAAAAAAAAAAGCCTATATAATTTTTATATAAAATGCAATTGCTAAAACAATGCAATGAGAACTTCTAATTACAGTATTTTTTAAAGCTTGTGAATTCAAGACAACTATCATTCATTTTATTAATAAAGGGAATCTCAGGAAAATATCTAAAATTATCATCATAAAAATATCAACAAAATAATGAGAACTTACTTTCACCTGGCACTACTAAGTCCTTTGTGGTCACATCTCATTTAATCTTTACAGACACTTTATGAGGTAAATGCTATTACCCCATAGCATTAGTATGACCTCATAGAGGTATTAATATTACCTCATAGAGATTAGTAAACAGACTCAAAGAATTCAACTAATTTCACCAAAATCAAAAACTACAGGTTGATCTCTCTTTCGTGTCACGAGTAAAGGGGAGAAAAAAAAAACCTACAGGTTTGTCCAATATCTGAAATGTTCCAAAAACATTTTGATGCCACAAGTGGAAAATTCCACACCTGACCTCATGTGACAGGTCTTACTCAAAAAGCAATCCAAACTTTGTTTCATGCAAAAAAATTATTTAAAATATTGCATACAATTACCTTCAGGTTATGTGTATAAGAGGTATACGAAAACTAAAAGAACTCCGTGTTTTGACTTGGGTCCCACCCCCAAGTTATCTCATGTATATGCAAATTTTCCAAAATCCAAAGAAATCTGAAACGTTAATACTTCCAGTCTCAAGCACTTCCGATAAGGAATACTCGACCTGTAGTAAGTGACAACACTGGGATTAGATCTAAAATTTGTTCAATTTTGTACACTCACCTAACGCACCCTACTGCCATCCTCTCTTGTGTTTTCTGAACCATTTTCAAGAGTTTTTCAATGATTTCAGAATAGATACAGGCTTAAAATGCCTCATTACCACACTCCCATACTCCTTTAACAACTGCTTGCAAAATGACCACTCTCTACAAGGGGAAAAATAGACAATAAGCAATTTACCATAAAGTCTCAAAGCTTGTCAGAAACAGACTGGAATGTTTATATTTATATTCTGAATTCTAATGTGACACAAGTCACAAGACCTGCTGGAGACAGGTATTGCTTTAGCACTATATTTGAGGAACATTTAGTGCTTTCTGTTTGTACCTGTGTGGTGTGGACGGAAGGCTACAACAGAGCAAGAGGGATAAACAGTTGTGTGTGTTGTGAGGAGGGAAGAGTCCAAATTCTGATGGTCCTTAAAATCCAGAAGAAGTTTAAAATCGACTCCACAGGTGGTTAGGCCCTAATGTAACCTCTTCACAAGAAACCCAGCATAAGAACATTTGTTTGGTCAATTTAGTTTCCAAAGACACTTTTGCCCTATTTATTAACTCATTTGATCTTTATAAAGACATGAATGTGATTTCAAATTCAAATGACCTGGGCTGGAGACAAGAGGACGCTAAGGTTATATCTGAAATATGCTTTACAACCCAAAGCTTTCGCACATTTATCACTTCTGCTGACCCCCACAACAACCCTGAAAGGCAGGCAGGCAAAGATTATCATCCCCGTTTTCCAGACAGGGAACCCGAGGCTGCGGTAAACCGACTACTGTACAAAAGACCACAGGTCCAGCAGTTGGCAGACTGAGACTCCTCTCGAGACTTCGAGTCCAAATCCTGCGCTCCTTCCCTTACACAACTAGGAGAGGCGGCTGCGCTGATGTAGAAAACTTTGACTTGGGGTTTTCCGAGGGCTGGCCAAGAGAAGCAGGAAGTACATCCTCCCTTAGAGACTGCTCACTCCCATAGCCTGGGGCTCCGGGGCAACAGCCCGGACTGACTCCCGAGGCTCGCGGCCCGGAAATCGCCAGCAGCCTCGGGGTCGTCTCGGGGGCCGGCCGGCCCGCGCCCCCGTAGTCCCGAGGAGGTCGTCTCGGACCCCGCTCAGTACTTGCTGAAACCCAGGAAAGGAAGTTCCCTCCGCAGGGGGCATTTGGGGCGAGGGCCCGAGGCGGGCGCGTTCCCACAGTGAAGGGGGAAAGGGTCCGCTGAGGATCCCTCTCAAGCCCGAGCCCGCAGGGGTCGAAAGGCGGGAGCTTCCCAGTAACCTCCGCCCCAGGCGGGGGCCGGCCCCGCGCATCACGTGAGGGGGACAAAAAACACCGGTAACAAACGAAAAAGGAAACGAAGTCTCGTCCCCGACTGTGAGGGAAGAAGAGGGAGCAACAAGTCCCAGCCTAGGGTGCGGAGAGGGGGAAGGAGACGCGGGGTTGGTCTTTACCCGGGCGCCGTAGCTCTCCGCTTCCGCCGCCTCCGTGAAGCTCTCGCTCTTCCGCTCGCGCAGCCGGGGCGCAAACCAGGCCTCGGCTCCGCCCCCCGGCGCGGGGCCTTCTGGGGCTCGTAGTCTCCGCGCCGCCGGCGTCCGGGTCACGTGGGGGGGCTGGCAAAATGGCGAGGATGGGAGAGTGTTCATTCTCCTATAGCTTCAACCCTTCCTCATTCCCCTCAGCTACAAACATGCTCAAATCCCTCATGTCCCACTCCATCGTGCCATCTCTTTTCCTCTGTTCACAACCAAGTTCTCGAAAAAGGTAATCTACATTCTGTCTCCTCTTCCTCACCTGTGTTCACTCCGCACTGCAGCTTCTGCCCCCGCGGAAGACGTCTTGTCGCCTTCAGTGTCCTAGTTGCCAAACTCATTGGAGGTATTTTCGGGCTCATTCTAACTTAAACTTTAGTCACTTGACGCTGTTCGACATTATCACTTATTTTCTATGATGCTATTCAAGTTCACTTCCTCTCAATCCATTCTACACAGTTTCCTTCAAGAATTCTTTTTATAATACACCTAAATATTTGTGTTCTCAGTTGTTCTTGGTATTGGGATGGGACAGGTGAGACTCCGGCCCTTTCTCTTTTGAGATTGTATTCCCTACTTCTCATCCATGCCCCCACAGGCATCTCAAATGTCCTACCCCTTCTCCCTACTCACTAATATTCACTCCACCCTTCAACCTGGATTCCTCCCTCTCTCTCACTTCGTCTTCTATCTGTGTTCAAATGGTCACCAAATCTTGTCGATTCTCTCTCCCAACTCTCTCTTCAATCTGCTCCCTCTTCACACCCACTGCCAGTGATTTAATTCCCACCCATATCATTTCTTATTCTGATTATTACATGAGCTTCCTTACTGATCTCATTACCTCTATTAGGTCCTCCCTCCTGCACTCAAGCCTATATTGATGCAAACAGCAAATTTAATCAAGTCATTGTGGTAAAATCCTTTAAAGGCTCCACTTAACTGGCTTTGGGTAGAGGAATGGAAATGAATACCTTGGGTAGCTTTTGTTAAATATGACTGCCAGCCCCACTACTCTCCTTCCCATCCCATATTGTGGTTGGGTGGTCAGAGAAGGAAGATTTATATCAAATCTTATTGTAGGGTAGGTGGGCATGGTCATTTTTTTAAAGTCCCCAGGTGATTCATTCAACAAGCATGTATTTTGTTGCTTACTAAGTACCAGTGCTGGGTACTGAGAAATGATAGTGAACAGAATAGTACCTGCCTTTATGGAGTTGACATTCTGTTGGAAGAGACAGAAATTGATCAAATTGATCTCATACCAAAAAGCAAAACCAACAACAAAACCACAGTTCCCAGCTATAATAAGAATTATGGAAGAAAAGTGACTGTTCCCTTTCCCCTTCTCTCTGCCACCTGCCCAGCCAAGAGTAGAAATCAGTTTATGTTCCTCAGCCTAGCAAACAAAGCCTTTCAGGAGCTAATCTGCTCTCCCTCCCTTCCCTATAGACCTAGATTTACCAAACTGTTTTATTGCATTTGCTCTCTCACCTTTGCATAAATTGTCCCTGTTTGGAAAACTCTCTCTCTTTAACTGTCTAATTCTCCTCTGTTGGATTCAAAGTCAATCCATAGAACACCAGCCACATGGAAGGATTTTCTGAGGATTGGACTGAGTCAGGTGATAACCCTCAGGCAAGCAGCCATGAGCTGAGTAGGGGAACCAGGAACAGCTCTGCTACCCAGAGCAGGGTTACGTTAGCCAGTTTAGTGGTATTAGGCCTGAGCCAATATACCCATCCTTCAAAACACAGATGTGTCACCTCCTCCAGGAAGCCTTTGTTGAAACCTCCTAACCCATTAGGATGTTCTAGTGGCCCTTTCTTGTACACTCATTGCACCCACGTGCCAGCCTCTCTTCCAGTGATATGTTAGAGCCAGCTCATACCGGCTTTGAAGAGCCAACTGTTAGATGTTCAGGAATTTTGTAAGTCAATTTTTAAACCATTGGTAACTTGAAATCAGCTGTGATGGAAGTATTTACACCATGGGAAATCAGAAAATGACAAATCAGGGTCTTTTTTTTTTTTTTGAGAACCAGTTTCCCAGAACATCACTAACTTTGTTATACCACTCATGTACATTGTATTGCAATGTGCCTACTCCCCTATTAGATGAATTCCTTGTATCAACTTTATTTAGCAAAGATTTATTGGTATCACTGTGCACCACAGGCTTAGCAAAGTACATACAGTGGACAAAGAACCAGCATGTTCTCTACTGTCATGGAGCTTACAATCTAATAGATAAGAAAGGAAATAAAGAGCTTCCAGCCTGAGCAAGAGTGAGAATCCATTTCTACAAAAAATAGGAAAATTAGTGGGACCTGGTGGTACATGCCTATAGTCCCAGGGAGGGACTTGGACTTGGGAGGTTGAGGCAGGAGGACCTCAGATAAGGAGTTCGAGGTTGTAGTGAGTTAAGATGATGCCACTGCACTCTAGCCAGGGCAACAGAATGAGACCTAGTCTCAAAAAAAAAAAAAAAAGAACTCTAACCGTACAATAGAACATCCTGGCAATGAATAGTGGTAATCGTAATAATACTTTTTTCTCAATTCCTTTATTCTACTTGGGATTTAATTTTTTAAATACTCCAGATTTTACAAAGAGGAGTAGTAGAATAAAAAACTGGAGTTTCTTTTCATACAAACTTATTTGGATTTTTTTATATTTCAAATTATTGATACATTCAAAGAGTAATTTTAATCTCTATAATTTTTGCTAACTGTGTCGAGTCACACTCGACATCCGAGTGCAAAGGGTTAAACAAGGTGGTCCCGAAAGGCCTTTCCCAGGAGGTGATCTTTCGACTAAACACTGAAGGATGAAAAGGAGATGGTGAAGGGGAGAACCAGCGTAAGAATGTTCCAGCCTTCCAGCCAAAGAGATCAGACTACACAAAGTAAGAGCTAGGCTGTTTGAGGGACAGAATGGTCAGTTTTGCTGGAGTGGAGAAAATGTAGATTAAGTGATCTAGATTTTCAGTCCCCAACCCCTGGGCTGCAGAGCAGTACTTGTCCATGGCCTATTAAGAACTAGGCCACACAGCAGGAGGTGAGCAGTGGGTGAGTAAGTGAAGCTTCATTTGTATTTATAGCCACTCCCCATTGCTTGCATCACTGTACAAGCTCCACCTCCTGTCAGATCCACAGAAGCATTAGATTCTCATAGGAGCTTGAACCCTACTGTAAACTGCACATGTGAGGGATCTAGGTTGCGCTCTCCTTATGAGACTCTAATGCCTGATGATCTGAGGTGGAGATGAGATCATGATGCTAGCGCTGGGAAACAGCTGCAAATATTAGCAGAGAGATTTGACTGCACAATAAATATAATGCACTTGAATCATTCTGAAACCATCCCCCCTTTTCGTGGAAAAAGTGTCTTACATGAAACAGTCCCTAGTGCCAAAAAGGTTGGGGACCACTGGTGTAGATGATATAATGAGGTGTAACAGGGAACAGCCTGGAAAGGGGTAAAATATTTTATAAGCTGTCTCTTTAAACCACCCCCACCCCACTCTTTTGGAGAATTAAAACCTACATCCCAGTAGGAGGGATGTAGGTTTCTTCCTACATCCCAGTACTCCAGGCCAGTACTCCAAAGGGAAGAAGAGTGTTCTTTGTTTTTTTATACCACAGGAGACGACTCAACATAATTGTCTGGGCAGAGGTCACGACATTGTCTTTGCTGGAGATAGGATCTATCAGGACCATCAACTATGGTTAAACAGCAGTATCCCCAAGCTGAAAACTCCCCTTTAAAAGCTCTGTATTTCTGCGTATAGATAGGACAATGGTATTTTAAGACACGAGGATGCCATTCTCCTCATTTGCCAGCAAATTAATAAACTTCTCTTTCCTTCTCCTCAAACCATTTGTCCTCGTTCTTCTGATGCAGCCTCTGGGACAAGCACCAAACTTTCCCTAACAGAGGTATTTAGGGTACACATATCCCTGAGGCCATGGTAAGGACCCTAGATTAAATTGTAGCCAGCAAAGGGTTTAAACAAGGGGGTGATGTTATCTGATTCACATTTTAATACAATCATTTTTGCTTTTGTTTGGAGGAGTAGAATAGAAGTGAGAGCCCCTCTGTTGGAGTATTCTAGGTGAAAAATAATGCAACAAAGTGCTGGCAGTGGGATGGAGAGAAGTGGGTGAATTTGACACATTGAGTCAATAGGACTTGCTGACGGATTGAATAAAGGGGAGGATGGGCCAGTGATGGAAAGAGAGGACCCAAGGGAAGTAATTGGTTATATCCATCTCCATATCTTCAGCCCTTAGAATTGGGCCTGGCACATAGTAGGTATTTGGCAGCTGTGTTGAATGAATTTATCTATTCTGTGTACTAAATTCTGTTTCCAATCACTGTCACGCTGCTTATTGCAGGGCCTCTACTAGCCATATAGTACTTTTGAGAAAATTAGAAAAAAGTGCCCCCTCCCTCCGGGTGGACATGGCCCATCACCAGTGTGCAGATTGATGGATAGAGCGTGGCTTAGATTTCAACCCCCATTTATCCACTTCAGCTGGTGCTCTTGTGTAGTGCACAGTCTGCACAACCACATACAGCAGCACTGACTTAACTTATCCCTGGGAGATGGTTTTGTGGCATTAAGCCCAGTATTCAGGGGGAGAATTTGAGGTCCACGGGAAGGAAGCTGCTTGGCTGGGGTCACCGGAGCTGCTCAGAGCTGCTGCTGTGACTGAGATTCAAACCTTTGCCCTCTGAATCCCTGTGGGCTCTTTAGCCTCGGAGCCACATTGTCTCTCCCAAATCACTCAGCCCATCAATAAAAAGCTAAATTCAAAATGGTGACTTTGCTTCCTTGAGTTTCTCATCTGTCTCAGTTACTATTGTTAGAGTATTTCACATTTACATAGTATCCAATATATGCTCAGTGCCTTACAAAATACAATAAAGGAACATGAAACCAAAGAACCTTGATTTTTTTTAACAGAATAAATAAGAAATGACTGGTTTAAAGGGCCCTTAGCTCTTGGCTACAATGAGCTGTGGTATATTGGTTTAAGGTAATGCTATAAGCAATAGATAAAAAGAAATTGCTCTCGTGCAAGCTGTTTTTCCTTTGCATCCCCCTATAAGAGGAAGGAGATACTGGAGCAGCTTCAGAAATGTAAACTAGGGAGAGTTTCAGGCCTGGAACTCAAGGACCTAAGGAAGAGAAAGAAACACCCTGGAGGAAGAAAAGCACTGTTCCTTAATAAATAATAGCATTTAACAGTTAACAAGTGTTTAATGTGTGCCTGGAGCTGTGCTAATCCCTTTACATGCCCCACCTAAATCAATCCTTACACCCTCATACTAGGTCGGATCTACAAAAGCCATCATTTTACATTGGAGGAACCTGAGGCACAGAGAGATCACATAATGTGCCCAAGGCTATGCAGCTGAAGCGTGATAAACCTGAGGCTTGAACCAAGCCAGTCTGGCTCCAGCGTCTGAGCTCTCAACTACTGTATTATAAGCAGCTCTAATACAGATGTTCCTGTTGCCCAGTCCCCTGTTTCAGCAGTGGGACCCTTTAGAGTCCTGTGATAACTAATATAGGATATCTGATTCTCAGACTCTTTGGGATTCCATGCTGTGCCTGTCTACTTGGTGATTAGGGCTGGGTTAGCTCCAGCCTAGCTTCAAAATGGACAGTTTGAACAAGGCATATATAAGAGGAAAGAGACGTTTAAGAGAAAAGCCCAACCCTGCTGGGGACATATCACCGTGTTCTCTGAGTTTTAATAGTCTCCCAATATAATACCGTAATTACCCATATAGTATGGAAGACAGAGAACTAGATGTTACCAGGACAGAACTAAATAAGCCTTCCCTTTGGAAATGGGGGCCCTGACTGGTCCCTCCTAATTTGAGGATTCTCTCCTTTTGTGACTTTCAACTCATTAGCACAGAAGATCCAAATTTTACTGGGTTTGGGGGCACTGAATTCTCCCCTCGTGACTAGCATTGGGAAGTGCTACTATCTAGAATTGCAGAGAAAGAAGGAAAGGTAAGATATTTTAGGACCATAGGAGGGCAGGGCATCAGCAGGTAGCTCGCATTGAATTCCTGTGGAAAAGCAGTATGGAGAACTCTGACAAGCAGCAATGACTCCAGACCCCACAGTTAGGAACCCAGAGTACTCTCCAGCTCTAACTCAAGCCTTCTTAAGAAGGCTTGGCAGCAACTATTGTTTTGGTGGGACCTCTGGGCTGTGATGTCACAGCGGCTGATCCTATTGTCCAACCATGATCCGTACCAGCCCTCCCACTCCACCGCCTTACACACACCCCCTCACAATTAGCTTTCTTGCACGAAGGCTGTTCTGTCCTCTTGAGCTCAATGGCTAAACTATCCAATGCCACAATGCCTGCTAGAAGGGAGGGGCTTGGTGATATTATGCCCACATGCACCCTGACTATATCATCTGAGAACAACTTGACTTCCTAGAGCTGTAATTGATAAATAGTGTAGTAATTTGTTCCACTTAGAATCTTGTGGCTCAGCTCCAATTAAGCCAGTCAGATATTTAGAGCAGGACTTTTAGATTCCAACATGGCATCATCTATTCCCTGATTTTGACATCCTCGACACCTTCCTCAGGATGTGCAGCAAACCACAGCTCTCACCCCCAGGACGCTGCCAGGGAGGCTTCCCGAGCACCTAGCAGGAGCTGGAAGGCAAAGTGGTACATGTAAAGGAACAAACTTGAGACAGGCCCCGAAAATGTCTGCTACTATAAAGCATATAACCTTAGACGATTCTCTAAAACTTAGTCTCCTCATCTGTAAAATGGAGATCCACGAAGACCACTTACCTCATCAGATAATCATGAATATTAAGTTTGGGAAACTATAAAGGGCTAACAAGGAAAAAGGTGGATAACCATCACACAAAATTTTGCTCCTAAGGGGCAAATAGGAGTAGTGGACACAGACTTTGAGTTGCAGTGCTAATTCTTTTTTCCACTTAGGAGAGTGGTAGAGGCAGAGCACATCTTCAAAGTTTCCTTCCCAGGACACAACCCCTCAGTCCCAGACCCTTTCCCATAGCGCTTAAAAAGCACAATCCCAGTCAGCAGCACCTAGTATCTGGCATGTACAGTTGGCCTTTTATGTCCACAGGTTCCTCTTCTGTAGATTCAACTGACCCTGGATAGAAGATGTAGTTAGACCTACAGTGGCTGTGTCTGTACTGAACATGTACAGACCTTTTCTCCAGTCATCATTCCCTGAACAAGCAGTGTAACAACTATTTACATAGTATTTACATTGTAGGAGGTATTATAAGT